GCCCCGCCGGGCGGAAACGGCCCCCACCTGCCCCCCCACCTGCCCGGGCCGCGCCCGCGCCGCCCCCTCCCCCTCCCTTTGTTCCTTCTCCACTCCTTAAACTTCCCCCTGGGTCGGGCACTGGGGGGCCAGAGTCTTCCCCTGCAGTGCACCCGACAAGTCCTTTGTGCGCCCCAACCTCAAACCTCACGGCCATCAAGTCGATGCCAACTCAGAGCGACCCTGTAGGACAGGGTAGAACCGGTCCAGTGGATTTCCAAAACCAGAACACTTCTTGGGAGTAGAAAGCCCGGTCTTTCTCCTGCGCAGCAGTCGGTAGTTTCGAACTGGTAACCACGAAGTTATGTGAGCCCAACTCCTTACCTAGTACACCACCAGAGTGGTCTGTACTCCACTCCTGTTCTGTCGGATGAGGGGTCACCAGGGTCAGGAGGACCTGGCAGCTATGGTTTCTCACTAGTGTGACCCTGACAGTCAGCCCCCTCCCTGAGCCTCAGCTTCCTCCTCTATAAAATGGGAATAGCTCCTCCCACCTGAAGGTCAAAGCCCATAGCGAGAGGCAGGACACTTGGGCTTTGGCTCATCTTTAAGAGTGTCCCTGGGATCTCAGAGTGCCCCCCTGAAGCAGGTCACCTCCTTGCTGTCCTGCACCAGCTATCAAGACCCCTTAGGGTACTTAGCTGTGGGCCCCAATGGCTTGGGGGACAGGTCCCCTCCAGGACGGACTGGTCACCAAGTGGCCCTGGACTGGGAGACAGGACTTAACTGGCAATCATGTCATCTGGTTTGCCACTCCACCCCGGGTCCCCTGACCTCCTGCCTCTTGAATTTGACCCCTACCCCAGAGTGGAGAGGGAGGAGGATGGAGCTGGGATGGGCCGCTGGTCCCCAGAGGCCTCAGGGACATTGCTGGGGAAGGAATCTGGGTCTGATTCAGAGGCAAACAGATTGTTCCTTTGATTAAAGCCACAGTGGCTGAAGCCATCTGGGGGGAGGCCAGGCAGGGCTGGCTGCCCCTTGTGGGCCATGCTGGGACAATCACCACTGGCAGGATAGCTTTGGGAGGCCCTGAGGGGCTCCCACTCAGTGGGGGGAGAACCTGGACAGCCCCAATCCCACTGCCTCCTCCTGCCTCCTTGGATCCCACTGGTGACGGCCCCTCCCCTTGTCCCCTTTCGCCTCTTCTTTGCTCATCTGATCCTTAAGGCTACTCCACAAGAGGCCACCAGCAGGGAGGGTGGTGAGTGGCCGTGACCCCATGCATGCAGAGTGGACTGGCTCCTTTGTTTCCAAGGCTATGGCTTTTGGAAGTAGATCACCAGGTACGTTTGAACTGAACTGCCAACTTTTTGGCTCAAGCTTTCGGGCTGAATTGTTTGGGCCACCCACCTGTCCTGTATCAAAGAAGCCCTAGTGGTGTTGGGGGATAAGCACACTAGATTGTTACTTGAAAGGTCAGAGACTCAAACCACCAGTCCCTCCTCAGGAGACAGATGAGACTGTGTGATTCCATTCATATTTACAGCCTCAGGAGCCCTGGGGAGCCCTTCTGTTCTCTCCTGCAGGCTGCTTTCAGTCCGAATCCATCAAACAGCAATGGGCTTGGGTCCTGTATTGGGGCCCCCTGTGTGTGGGGGGGCCTTGTAGAGCCTCCTATACTTTGAATCCCTGTGAGAGCTGGGGGAGTGATGTCTGATCACAACTGTGTCACTGAGAGGACACGGTGGCCCTGAGAGCTCCAAGGACCCAAGGCCACACATGGGGCCAGTGACAGAGCAGGAGGCACCCCAGGACAGTAGGTGCCCTTCCAGGGCAATGGGTGCTGTGCTAGTCCTAGGGGTGGGCAGGCGGGGCACCCTTTAGAGAGGCAGGAGCTGAGGCATGGAGAGGGGGCCAGAGTCCCACCCACAGTGAGCCCCTCCCTCAGCAGTGACCCCACTTTGCAACCCTGTTTGGGGTGGACCTTCACATGCCTATCTCAGCGGAAAGGAGGGAGCAGCTCACCCTCCCCCCATGCACCCCACCAACTGACCAGCCTGAAGGGGTCTTCAGGCATGTTTTGACCACAGAATCTCCCTTTCAAGTGACTTGACCCAGAAACTTATTTCACACCGAGACATGAGAAGCTTCCCCCCACCCCCCCATAACACCCCCAGAGCCTCCTCGCCACACTCCCAGGTGGGGACACAGAGGCACAGAAAAGGTGGCTTGGGGCCTTCTCCAAGGGCCCCTCTGCAGGTTGAACCAGCCTGGGGTGGGTATGGGGGGTCCACATGCTGCCACTCACCCGCCGTCCAACTCTAGCCACCTGCTCCACTTCCGCTGCGGCCGCCACTCCTGGTGGGAGAGGCTTGTCCTGCCCACGGTCTCTTGCACGGGCCTGAGTGTGGGTGTCACTGATCGGCAGGTACCAAGCTTCCTGCAATGAAAACCCAGGAAGTGGCTGGATGAGAACACACGCCCTTTGTCTGCCAGCTCACAGGTCGCCTCCCGCCTCCCGCCCTGCCAGGCTCTGGCTAGCTTGCTTCTCCCTTAGACCAATGGCCTGTGATGGGGCTCAGTCCTCTATCAGGGTTGTGGCAGGTGGACCCCTGGTAGCAGGAAAGAGGTGGGGGTGGGGGGTGGAAATGCTTGGGGGCAAGGATGTGAGATCTTCTGCTACCCAGGACTGCCAGGGGGCAGGGCACCCTAGGTGGTAGGTGCTGGTTTCAGGCACCTCTTCTGAGCTAGACACCAAGCAAGGAGCCCACGGGGTCAAGTCAGACAGTCCCTGAGCTGCCAGGGTGGTGAAGGAGCTGGGCATGGAAAGCCAATTCGTGCCACTCATTACCAAGTGGAATGAGCTCTGAGGAACAGAAGGGGTAGAGACAGAGCACGGGTGATGGGCCAGTCAGAGAAGGCCTCCCTGAGGGGGTGGCATTTGAGCTGCGATGAGGAGGAACCTGGCATGAGAAGAATGCTGCAGTGACTGTGCCCATTGCTCTGCCATGTGGCAAGCCCAAGTACAACAGAGGGGAATAGTGGACAGCCTGCACCATCCCCAGGAAGGCTGGGGGACTCGGGGCCCACTGGCCCTGCCACTGGGTCTTGCCTGGCTTTTAACTTCGGGCTCATCTTTCAGTGCTGTGTCCAACAGTTCCGTCATGTGCTCTGTTGGCACCCACAGAATTTTTACCGGCCGATTATCTGGAAGTAGATAGCTAGAGCTTTCTTCCTAGTCTGTCTTAGTCTGGAAGTTCCACTGCCCACTGTGGATGACCTGGTATTTGAAACCCCCAGGGCAAGCACGTACCACAGTATGACAAACTGACAGACGGGGGTGGGTGAGAAAAGTAGAAAACAATTCAAGAAGAAGGAGGGCGTGGGGACAACCTAGACCTTGGGGTCATATGTAGGCTTAACGCCCAGCTCTCTGGTGGTGGTGTGACTTTGGACAAGTTACTTTCCCCCCATCCTCACCCTTGGGCTCCATCTGCTCAGCTGTAACGAGGGGACTAGACTGGCTGGGCTGCAAGGGGGACATTGATTTCCTCTGCAGAACTGTTGGGGACTGAAGGGACCTGTAGAGGCCTGGGCCCACTCATGGGAGGCAGCATTACGCTCACATCCTTCTTGCCTGGTTTCCAGAGCTCTCCCTTTGCACTGGCCTCGCCTCTCCACAGGAAGACTCAGGAATCAGGACAAGCCTGGGAGCAGAGGGGGAGAAGTGTCGGGGGTCACGTGATTTCTCTCTTAAATTTAAAAAAAAAAATTTTTTTTTTGGTCACGTGATTTTTTCATTCCCCCCAGGCACCCTAAAATACTGTCCCCACGGACCTGGCAGGAAGCTTCAACCAGCTGCCCCTCCCCTTGACAGGCCAGGCCCCACTCAGGCGGTGCCGGAGCAGAGCTGCCTCATTCCAGCCTGGAGTGCCCAGGTCAGCGGCTACAGGAGATTACATCGCAGGCACAGGGGGCGGAGGGTGTCCACTCCCTGACAAACCATCCGGAGAAGCCCCTGGGCCCCTCCTCCGCTCTCCTCCCTGCCTTCTTAGGTCAGGCCCGGTGGTGTGGCCAGGGCTGGCCAGCATGCAGCCGTACAGAGAAGTGGGAGCTCATCTTGCAAGGGCAGTGGGGCAGACACCAACATGGACAGCACCAGTGTCTGTCAGTGAGTCCAGCTCCTCTGACCACCTGGGGTAGCAGTACATCTCTTGTGGTTTTGTCAGAAGGATTTGATGGGTTGGAAGGATATGTGGGGATTATATTGCCTGGTAGTCTGCCTAGATAGTCAGAGGTGAGGTTGTTCCTACCCCACCACCTACCCCCTGCCCTTCCATCACCACCACCACCACACACAACAGAGGTTTCTGGAAATTAAGGGAGATGGACAAAGTGCTGGAGGTGTGGAAGCAACTTGAGTCCCCTGGAGAATCTGAGACATGCCCATGGTCCCTGCCAGCCCACCATCACTTGCCCTAGTTTGGGTAACAGCACATCTTTCTCCACAACTCTCAGTGACTGAGGGCACTGTACCCCCTGGTTCCAGGGACATGGACATGACCTAAGTCTGGCCAATCGTGGTGGCTGTTGGTTCTGAGCCTCACCCCCATCGGGGGTAGGTCGTCTGTGGTGGAGCTCTTTGGAAGCAGCAGTATTTTCCCAGCTTGGCTTTTCCAGCTGTCAGCCGGTGGGAAGCAGACCTGGTACCATCTTAGGGCCAGATGGCAAGAGGACAAAGAGAGAAAGGGAGGGAACGAACTTCATTATTTAAGCTGTTGGATCCAACCGTGCCTGAAAGTCTACCTTTGGAGTTTCCAGTTATACGAGTCAATGAACCCCCCCACCCCCTTTAAACCAGCCAAAATGGTGTTTCTGTTGCTTGCACAGAGTCTTGATAAACACCGGTGTGACTCCGGGCTCGGGATCACCTCCCACTCCGGGCAAGCTCTGCAACCAGGTGGCCACTCCCCCCCCCCTTTGTTTATTTCTAACAATGTCACTGTCATCTAGTCACACAGCACACACTTCAGTCGTTGAGTCACATTCATCAGAGTTGTGCCATCACCACAGTCAATTCCAGGATGCTTCTTCTTCCTTCTTAGCTCCCCATTTCCTGCCAGCCTCCCCTGTCACGTCCCTTTGAACCTATTGGTCCATTTGTTGTCGCTATAGGTTTACTAATCTGGGTTTCCTACACAGAAAAACATACAAACTCAAGATGGAATACCAACGGCCCAACCACGACACAAGGAAACAAAGAAAAACCTCAGTAGAAAACAGCAGAAAATATTAAAAACTGGAGCAATGATGCATTGAGTCAAGGGGGGAGGTAACTGACAAGGTGTGACATTTTAACCCAACTACAATAATAGTAATCCTCCCTGCCATGTACTCTGTCTGGAAACAGGGCCTTTCTCATCTCTGGTCCACAGCCAGAGCGGATTGATCTGAGGCTTAATCCACATGGGGCATCCCACAGAAGTCTTTTGGACCCTCACTGTCATCCATAGCCTTATGCAAACCAGGTGTTCAGAATTTAATCTATACCATTCACTCTCGGTTTGGTTTTGACCTCCACACAAGTACTCCCTCAACACAAGAACACTTTGTTCTAATAACCTGGCATTCGGTGATGCTCACCTTTCCAACAAGATCGCTGAAGACAAAAATGGGTGCATAAGCAAAAAGGGGAAGAAAGCTCATGGTGCCTGGCGATAGCGTCCCCAGACACTTAAAGGCTTGAAGATAAGCAAGCCGCCATTTGACTGAGAAGTAAGAAAGCCCACATGCAAGCCTGTGTGATCTTGAGGTGTCGATGGAATCAGGTATCAGGCATCAAAGACCCAGACAAAAAATCATATTGATGTGTATGAGGGGGAGGGCAGGGTGGAGACCCAAAGCCCATCTGTAGACAATTGGACATCCCCTTACTAAAGGGTCACGGGGAAGAGATCATCCCGTCAGGGTACAGTATAGCACTGGCAAGAAAACAAATTTCCTCTAGTTCTTTAGTGCTTTCTCTGCTCCCCACCCGCCGCCCCCCACC